ATAATAATAACCTCATTTGTTTATGGAGTTTGGTAGAGATAGTACTTATATTACAGATGTAGAAATTAGCTACCAACATAGTGAATTCTCAGTGCAAACAGAATGGAACCCAGGTAGTCTATCTCCAGCGTCTGAATTCTCTCCTATAGGCTTACCATGTAACTATAAACAAGCAGCTTCCCTCTAGCCAAAAAAGTAAACCTCTCAGTCTAGAACTGCTACCAAAATGTTTTCTTTCATGTCACCATGAGGTCTTCTGTTTGTTGCAAGTGATGGCATCAGACTTCTTACCACATATACTAAATTAGCACTATGAGTGTGGAAGGTATCCAAATGTCTTATGCGTCTCAGAACATAGAGAAAAATATATTTACTCAGTGTTCCCAGTTGGGTCAGAACATCTTTGCACTAGACTGCTTCTGCCTAAAGTCACATTCTGACGCATCAGCTATTTGTGGGTATATATTACTAGCAGCATACAAACCTCAGGTTATTGCCCTTGGGTGTAGTGGTATTGGGTTGAAATCTACAGAAATTAAGGGACTAAGGTTAGTTAATTTAATCATTTCACTCAAAAATATTTATTGAGAGCCTACTATGTACCAAGTCCCGTTCTAAATCCTAATAGAGCAGTGAACAAGAACAAGACAGATAAAATCCTGCTCCTTAGGAGTTTACATTCTAGTGCAGAAGTTGGTCAGATTTTCCTATGCGTCAGATGGTATATCTTAGGTGTGGTGGGCTATAATGGTCTCTGGTGTAACCACTCAACTCTGCCATTGTAGTGAGAAAGCAGCCATAGACAACATATAAATGAATGAGTGTGGTTGTGGTCAATAAAACTTTATTTACAAAAAGAAATGGCTAGTCAAATTTGACCTATGGACCACAGTTTGCTGAGCCCTCTGCTAGTGGGCTCAGCAAGCACTTTTTGCTTTTATCAAACATTTTTCTAAACGTTGTAAGGAAATTAATTATCAGAGTATTTTCCATGAATTCCCCAGTAGAGAGTCTGTTTCACTGCCATTTCTGTTAAACCAAGGCTAAATGTTGAATATTCAACTATTCCCTCAACAAGTTAGAGATACAGTCACTCAACTTTGAGAGTTTTCCTTTGAGAGCAGATGTGAGAAGAAACCTGTTTCTGCCTAGAGATTCCTGTTCATTGAACAAACTGTTCCTGAATTGTCTTATATTTCTAACTGGGCTATTGAGGTCCAAACAATAGGTGCGATCGTTTGTGACCTCTGAGAAGCATATGATAAAATGGGATTAGACATGCAGGAAATTTACTAGGGGAAATGCCTGCTCAGTTAAACTCACTGAAAATAAGACTTGCTTTATTTTTTGTTGTATTCTATATAGTAGCTATTAAAACATCTTGCATCAAGGAAGTACTCAAAATATCTTTTTATATTTGATTAAATTTCATTTCTAACACTAAAGTTCCCATGTAAAGCACTGAAAATTGGAAGAAACTTAGTTACACTCAGCGTATAAGGAACTTTTCCATAATGAACATAGCCAGCAAGTGGCAAGGACGGTACTGGATCCTACAATTCCATGAGAAAATGTGACTGGCACATGGTAGAAGGGCAATAATAAGTGGCATCATTACTGTCATTAGCAGAGCAGCAGCAGCATCTTCACCATTTGTAGAAAGCATTCGGTGGCCCCTATTAGATCCCCACTACCTTTTGCTTTATCTGATTCTGTCTTACCCTCTTCTTGGACCCACTTACTATTCTGCAAACTAGAGAACGCAGGGGTATACAGAGACAGGCAGCATAGACAGAGGGCTGGTAAAACATGTAGACTTTGATGCTGGACTGAGTTCAAATTCTCACTAGTTCTTTCATCTGGGAAGAGTTGTTTCACCTCTCTATATTTCAGTTTCCTCATCTTTAAACAAGGGATGGTAATATTATCTACTACATAGGATCTATTATTATTATTAAATAGCTAATGTATGTAAAATTGCTTAGAACTGAGCTAAGCACAGATTACTACAGGTGAATTTTAATGCAATTTGTCTATTAGTTCCTCCAAAACCAAATTTGCTTGAGGAAAAAAGTGAGAAATAGAATTACATTATAGGAAGGGACCTGAATAATCCCTGAAACTAACCCCTTTATATTGCACACTTGGAAAAAGGATGTATGTTGAAGGCAAAGAGATATTGGCACAAACTGATAACAGAGTGAGGAAAGCACTGTAAGGCAGGCTAAGGAGGAAGGAAAGGGCATGGTGTTGTTTCCTGATTCTCACCATGGCCAGCAAGGTTATTTAGATGTGCTCATTATAGGTCTCTTTTCCGATCATGACGTTTATGGAGCACAAGAGTATCTTTAAATGCTGTTGCAGTAAAACTGTGGCTCTATCACCGTTTTTTAAGTTGCAAATCTAGACAGTCAGCTGAGAACTAGAAAGCAATACGTTACTTATCTTTATAAGATCATTCTGTGAAAGCTAGGACACTAAAATGTATTGCAAAGCCATTGTCATGAGTTCCTGACATAACGGAGGACCTGAAATCAGTTTTAGGAAAAGCTACACCTACCAAAGTGAAGTCAAGTTAGATGAATATAGGAGCAAAATTAGGAGAGCATACCTGGACAGCACAGAAGGATCTAATGGTTTATAAATGCTTATTATAAATGCACAAAGTGTATCAAGGTTAAGGAATAATTCAGGATTCATTTTGTAAAGTTAGTTCTACATCAGGGCATGAGTGCACATGAATGGTTATGTCAAAGCAGAACACATCCTGTTGTAATAATTCAATAAGCACCATGAGGGCATACGTTTGCATGAAAATGGTTTGGAGCATCACAGCTACAAATAGCATAGACAATTAGAAGACATTAAAATGAAGATGAACACACAGGCTTCACTTATTAAGGTAGGACACAGTTTGAGCCATTGTCTTCCTTCTCTACTTTCCTCTCATTGCTAGTTCTGATAAGTTTTTGATTTTTTAGATGTCTTCTTGGTTTTAACTATCTTAAAATTGTTTCCGCTGTATCTAATAAACTTTCATTGGCCTTTAAAGATAAATTTTAGGTGCTTCATATATTCTTTTTTCTTTGAACTTTTTGTGCTATTTTCCAAAAGTACACATCTCCTGGCCTTACGAATGCAGACAAAACAAGTTGTCTCTTAAAACCTTATAGAGCATGCATCTTAACAGTGTGAAGATTAACAAGCTAACAATGGGACATTTTTTCTCCACAACTCCAATTCCTCGGTGGAAAGAGAACAAAAACAATCCAAGCTAAGGTTTTGGAGGATGGAAAAATTAAATAAAACCCTGCCATTTATGTCATAAAATTTATTGTAACAGAGATGTATAAAAATTTCAAATGTGCCATCAAGTAAGATATATTGTGTCAGTTTTTGAATATATGAGAGTGTTTTGTAGGAAAAGATGAGCATTCTGTTCTAATAAAAATAAGAAAAAATACAATCACATTATTTATACCACAAGAAGCCAATATGCATAGATTATGAAACTTGCTTAGTGTGATGATGAACAATTAAAGTCTTGTAGTTTTCAGTTACAAATTTCCCCCTCCCCATCCCCCATGTTGATCTGATGATAACGTGCAGCAAAAAAAAAAAAAACTTTTCCAAAGCCTATGTGATGCATTCCTCCAATGCAGTCAGTACTTAAGTTCTTATTAGTTATTAGTTTTAGTTAATTATTAGTATTACTAATTAAGGGGGAGAGAAATAAGACTGGAGTTTGAGTCCTAGATTTTATTCACTAGCTGTATCAATGTGAGAAATCATTCAAACTTTCTGAACCATCTACTGTAAATGATTTTCATAAAAACCATTTGTACATGGAAAGTTGTTTGTGTTATATAAAAGGCTCTGTCCACATAAATTATCATTGTTATTTTTCTTTAAATATCCACATATCTGTGATATCACTAACACAAATGAAATAAATTAGAAATAAAATTGCACCTAATTTTTGAATTGGCATATTTCAGCTTTGATGCCAGAAATCAACTACGTTGAGATAGTCATCCCCTGAGTTTCAGAATGATAACTGAATGGCCATTTTCATAGCTAAAAGGGGACCAAGAAATCATCTTCTAGTCATCAAACTGCTATTTGCTATTTGCACTAAACTGTGATGGTGGGTTTGTGACAGTGATGGTCAAAGGGCATCCCTAGTTTTTATTGATTTGTGCTCACGTAAGTATGTCATTGTCCCTGGTAGGGAGACACACACACTCTCATTCTCACTCTCTTGATCAGTCATTTGGCTTTTCCTTTCTATCCACTGAATGCGCAAACCCTCTGCAGGTGCCATTACAGCTAGAAAATTACCAGAGACAAAACAAGACAGGTCAAAAATGCACATCAAAGGCACCAATTTAACCCAAGTGGTTATTTTGTTTGACACATATCATATCACAGTTGGTAGCTGCAGTGTTTATTTCAATTTAAACACTGATTAGGTCCTTTGCCAGCCCTGTTTTCGCAAACACATACAAAGCTAAATATACGAACCCTCATTAAATCAAAAGAAACATGCATAGCATGTCAAGCAGTCATTGTTGTTATTACCAATAAACAAAAGTGTATATGTTTCCCCAATCCGAGTGCTGAAATGTGCTCTGTGTTTATGGAGCAAGCTAAAAGAAAACACACACACATACACACACACACACACACACACACACACACACACACACACAAAACCCTTCCTGGTTGAGTTTGCGACTCTGGCCCCGGGGGGTGTACCTGGGTCTCAACATCTGTCAGTTTTCGGGTCTGCTCTGCAGTCTGAGACAGGAGGCTGGTTCCTATCTCGAGCATGGTGGCCGTGTGGTTCTGAACCGCATTCTGCTGTATCTGGGCCATCTCCGACTTCATATTTTCCACAATGTAATTCTCGAGCTGCAAGAGATAAAGGACAAAGCTTATTGCATTATAAGCAAAGCCTCCCAGTTGGGGCATGTAATATTTACAATGACAAAACAAGATGCAGCTGGCAAATCAGCCATCTGGCAGGGATCCTCTGTATCTCTGGGAGCTGGGGAAATGGAAGCAGAGCACACAGGAATCTAGTTGTCAACAAACTCCTAATAAAATGATACACATACACAATAATCACAATCATAACGATAATTTGCACTTGGATTATGCTTTCTGTTGTTGGCATTATCTCATTTAACCCTCTCAGCAAAGATGAGAGTTAGACACAGTCAGCGTCATTGTTCTGTTTATTTTATAGCTCAGGCAACGGAATCAGAGAGGGTCAGGGACGAACCCAAGGTCACCCAGCACAAATGCAGCAGAGCTCATACAATAATTTAAATCTAAATCTTGGTGCTCTGCTTTTTCCATTACACCATGCTGATCACTCATCTCAGAAAAATTCAGCCTGCTGTTTCAATTTTTGTAATGATAAATAAAAAATCATGCTGCATTGGGGGGATGAGGAGTAGGAAGACAGCAGACGATCAAAACAAAAGCCTTTAAGAGGAATATTAACACATAAATGACGATGTATGAAATGAGCTGCAGAGCCTGAGCGCTAGCTATAACCATTCTCCGTGCTCCTTTGCAAACTCAAAAATAGGCACAGCCCATAAATTGGTCTTGGCCTTTCTTGCCTTGGGTAACATTTAGTCCTTTATGGCACCATCGCAGAGAACACCATAGTTGTAAAACAAATGGTACCATGGGGCCAAGAAGAATTATTTAGTGACTTACTGCATGGGAGCCTGTTAGACAGCTGGGAGAATAAAGCTACGCATATGCACTGCTTGAAAAACACAGAAGAAGCCTGCACCTCCCTGTCAGTGCACTTAATTCTCCCCCACCACTGCGTGGTGACTGCATTTCATTACCCAATTACACATGCGGGGAAACTGCATCCCAGAGAAGTCATGTCCAAGGCCACACACCACAGAAACAGCCAGATTGGACTTGAGCGCTGAAGTCCTTAACTCTCATACCAACACTTTCAACCTCTTGATAGCTCTGCCAAGTCGTGCTTCGCAAGCCGGGTTCCAAATCATTAACAGCTACGTGATTTTCACTGATGTAGTGAACCATAACACAGCCACTATTTAATAATCCATAGTAACATTATTATCATGTAATAAATATAGTCTAAATGTAAATTCCCCTTCGTGAGACTTTGGCAGTTCACTTTCTAACATCATCCCTTGCTTATTTCTATTTATCAAATATGAATCTAACAAAAGTGAAAGTTTAGACTCAAACTCACAATGCTATTAATAAATTCTGAATCTGTTCTTGGTCAATATAAGATATTCCCCTTCCTTCTTTATTCCCCAATTAGACGTTGGAGGAAATTTCAACCTATAAAAGTTTATTATAAAACAAATACAAAATAGATTAGAATAAATATATGAAAATTATCTTAACAAATTTAAGGTCTCCGGGCCAAATCTTGGCTTTATTTCAATTGAATCAATATATTTAAATGACAAGGGAAGGGTAGAGGAAAAGAGAGTAGGTCAGAGTAATAAACGTCTGTCAGTTTGGATTCTACATCATGTGTTTCCCTTTTCCTTATCACATCCCTTAACTTTCTTTAGGGAAATTATCTTTTACCCCTTCAGAACAAATGCTTCAGGTAGTGTTGTCCCAACTTAGCTTCAGGAACAGGTACATGTTTGAGCCTGGCAAACCAGAATGTTCTGCTCTTACTTAGCAAGTGTGAGTTATTTGAGAATGGAAAGACACTGCAAAGTAAGGCTATTAAGCCTCAGTTTTGGAATTTTGTCAAACTAGTTTATAAAAGAACTTCTTTTTTCTTTGTGGTTAGTAAGGTGGTAACATATATACCTGACAAGGTTGGGCCCATTTTGCTACCACAGAACCAGAGCCAGCTCAGAAAGATAGCTAGGTAGCTAGCTAGATAGATATTATAGATAGATCAGATAGAGCCAGGTGATATAGATAGAAGGATACCTTTTGAGCATGTGGATCCAGCCATGTTTTTAGCTAGATGCACCCTTGGACATTCAGCTGTAAGTTGCATGATCTAATAATCTCCCCCTGAGCAGCCAACATTTTTTCGCCTTCAATTACATTGATTTAGGTTTTTAACATTTACAACCAAAATGTTTTGACTATTACATTTGATAAATGTTTAGCAAAAGAAGGCTCAGACAGGGAAATATAAGCGGCATGTTCCTTACTTGTCCAGGGAATTTGGACAAGAGGGTATGTATGCATATTCGTGAACTTGCATATCCTAAAAAACGGCAGGTAAGTCTCATTGTGAAGATAATATCTGTCATGTAAAGCTGACATTTATTAATTGCCTACTATGTAGCAGGAACTGAGCTAAGTGTTTTCCTTTCATTAATATAACTGCACTGAAACCCCCTAGCAACTTTACGTGTTTTATAGACGAAACTATTGAGGCTTAGAAATCCCAAAACAACTTGCTCAAGAACAGGCGAGAATTCAACCCCCAACTCCAAAACCCATATTCTTAACCTCTAGTTTATTCAGCCTAGCACTACTTAATTATTTTATGTTGTAACAGCCCCTAAACTTTGAGTGTTCATCAAAACTACATGGAAAGAATTTAAAATGCAGTTGGAGGTACAACACACCAGAAATCTTCAAGGGCACATACTAGGAAAGCTTTTATAAAGCTTCCCAATGTAATTCTAATTCAGGCAAAGAACCAGTATTTCTCAAAGTGTGGTCCATAGAATAACTGCCGGTATGCTAACTGTTTGTGATCAGTTAGCCATGAGATGAGAAGTTTGTGCCAGAATGTAAATTATCTGTCACGAAGCACACTGTTCAGTTCACCTGATATATAGAAAAAGCAGCCTCATTGGAGTAAAAAATAATTAACCAGAGTTATATTCATGCTATTCACCATGGCAGCCCAAATGAGAATTTTAGTATAGGTTGCGGACATATATTAATATATATGTCTGTATATGAGCAAACTTTCTAAAAGAAAAAAGTGATGCTATAATTTACATTCTGGTGCAAGCTTCTTACTTTGTTACAAAATGACAACAATTTCCTTGAGTAGCACTGATTTAGACCATCAGAATTACTCTGCTATGTCACACACATTGCTTAACAAAAAATTTGGTTTCCTATGCAGATTTCCCTTCTGAGGGACAATTCACTATCAGTGAACTCCAATACAGGATCTGTTTGATAATTATACATCAATTTCTTATGCAGCTGGTTAGCAGAAGTCAGTCCCCAGAGCTTGACTTGCTCTGAGTATAGTAACAACCATGTACCCGGTCTTCACAGAGGAGGACAACCTCTGGCATAGGTGGTTATGTCAAGGTTCAGCTGCTTTGCAATCCTATCTATGTGTCAGATCTTGATACTGTACTATTATGTTTTTTTTGATACCATAAAATTAACACTGGTAAAGCAAAATAACTGTTTCATGCTAGCATTCATCACAGCCATAAAGTGCCTCTCAGTTCTGCTGACACTGTTGTGGAAATGAAGTAGGTCTCCAACCTATACTAAAATTCTCATTTGGGCTGCCATGATGAGTAGTATGAATATAACTCTAGTTAATTATTTTTTAATCAAAGGGGGCTGCTTTCTCTAGGAATAACTGCCTTTTAATGCAAAAGGTAATGGCACATTTAAGTAGCAAGAACCAGATGTAGTTGATTTAAAGGCCGAGGAGAGAGGCAGAAGTCAAACATACAATGTGTGATTAATAAGGAGGACTGCTTTCATCTTATCTCTAAACATTCCTCTGCAGATGTGTAACTGCGAAATCCATCTTGATGTGCCATATCAGCGAGCTGCAGGAAAGAGTTGTAACAAATTTGATTGTCTTCATATATTTCCTACTAGTTTTTAAAATATATTTACAGAAAATGATGGCTACCTTAAGGTTTAATATTTTATAAACATCCAAGATGTGAATTTCAAGCTTAGAAGTTGCTGACCACAAGAGCTGATGAGTTATAAAGGAGTCTCCCAACCTGAATCATAAAATTATTTGACTATACTGCCACTCCAGAGTTTTATAAAGTATTGTCCAAAAGACTAGGAAAAGGATGTATGATACGATTTGAAAACAGATGACAAATGATTAATGATGATTTTTAAATAAGGAAATAATGTTATATTTGTAAAGTGGTTTGATATTTACAAAGAGATTTCACATACATTTTCTGATTTGATCTTTATGCCAAACCTACAAGGAGAGAACTGATTCCATTTTATAGTTTTAAGAAACAGAGGCCTTAGCTGACTTCGTGGAGCTCAAAGAAAAGTCAGACATCAAAGAAAGGTTTAAACTCTATTTTCTGATGCTCCACTAGCCTCAGAGTTGTGGGAACTGCTCGGTTATTGGATTGGCTGGGTGGCTGAGTGATTGATTAATTGATTGATTCCATTTTTAGCCAGCTCTTGAGTATGCGTTTACTTATTCCTTTGAAAAAATCATGCATCAGTAGAAAGGGATCACTTTCACTTGGCTTCACCATATTGGAGACCATGTTAATTAGAGGTGAGATTAGAAATTGTAGGGCCAGGTAGGTGGAAAGTTTACTTTGCCAGTACTTTTAATGCAAGGGTATCATTTAACATTCTCTCATAAGTTCCTACCTTTTTTCTTAGTAACGTAAGTTTGTTTTGTTCTGCCCATTCTATTTCTTACCAACCATTGTTAAATATAACAATGGGAATAGGAATAACAATAACATACTAAGTCTTTAGTGAGGCTAGGTATGTGCCAGGTTTTACAAATATGTAGTTCATTGAATATTTGCAACAATCCGGATACTGTAAGTATTACTTTCCTCATTTCACTGATTGGAAACAGGCTCAAGGAATTTAAGTAAATTGTCTAAGATCACATGATGAGTTGATGGTAGAGCTGGTATATTGCTTTGGAAGAAGCTAGATAG